CTTAGCTGTAGAGGGCAGTGTCACTGGCCCTCACATGTGGGATCCGAACCGGGGCCCTCTGGCGTCCCAAGCCAGTTCTTAACCATCGCGCCACTTGGCCGGCCCGGCACTTTTATTATCGCCGATTTTGCAGGCCATCAAGGCCCAGAGAGGTCATGCCACTTACCTAAGGTCACACAGCCAGAAAGTGACAACAGGGACTTTTACCGTCAGTTTACAGATGAGGAAACTGCAACTCAGAAATGTTAATCTACTTGCCCCAGTAATGCCATACGGCTAATGAGTGGGGGATCAGGGGGCCCGGGGGAGGGCTGATTCCCTGACCCAACTTACGTGACTCTGGTCACAGTTACGGAGGTAGCGATCAAAGGCCTGAATTGGGCCGGTGGCTCTTACCCACTGTGGGGTCAGCTCAAGATGGCAGCCAGAGTGGGAGCAGGCACTTCCCAGCCTGCAGCCCGCGTGCTGACGCCTTCCTTTCCTTTACCAGTTCATAGTCTATGATGTGACCCACCAGAACACCACTCTCCTCTTCCAAGCCAGTTCCCTGAGACGTGGGGCTTTCTACAGCGCACGGGTGAGGGCCCAGGCTCGGAGGTATGACAGCCTCTGGAGTGAGTGGGGCCCCAGTGTCACGTGGCAGAACGGTGAGTATCCATCCATCATGAGTCCTGGCTTTTATTCTGTGGCCAGATGCTCCCCCGGCCGAGCATCTGGGCTTTCCACATCATAGGATGTCTCTGGCTGTGGTAACAGATTACAGGCTGACACGGTGTACCGGCCGGGAAAGGTAGGCCAGGCGCAGTAACAGAGAAACCCGCAGCGTCTGTGGATTAGCTCTGTAGGAAGGTAGTTCTCGCTTGCAGAGGCTGGGAACTCAGATGTCTAGAATGGGGATTAGGACAATGTGAATTTCGCCGGTTTGTGGGTGGTTTTTCTCCCTGTGGCTCCATCATTCTCTAGGACAAAGATAATTATTAGCCTTTTTGTGTTGTAGACTGGTAAAGCCTGTGGACCCCACCTCAGAAGAGCATTTTTAAATGTATAAAATAAAATATATAGGATTACAAGGGAAACTAATTTCATGGAAATGCAACTATAAAAACATTTTAAAATGTATTTATCTAAGGATGTATGCTTCTTTAGTAACATGTTAAAAACAAGATCTGGTGGTAGTTCTCATAAATGCTGTAATTTGAAAGTAGATGAGCATAAGTGGCATTTCGTGGCATGGCAGCTGTAGTGTGACATGAGAATGGCTGTGATATCTGTTGGGAGCTGAGTGACTGATACTATTACTGTGGTTTGCTCCCTCTATTCCTAATGGGAGGAAAGGCGAGGTGCCAGAAGGTAGTGAAAATAAAGATGTCATTTCTTTCCCATCCAAGTTCCCAGACTCCTGAATTCTGTCTGCAACCTTGTTGGAGGTCTGTGGACCCCAAGCTAAGAATCTCTAAGGGCCCCACCATTGTCTGCATCCAGAAAGGAGAATGTGAGCAGGGAGACCACACTTGCTTCTTAAAAGCCTTAACCCGGAAGTGACACATATCACTTTCTCTCAAGTTCTAGTGGTGAAACTGGTCACATGACCACACATAGCTGCAAGGGATTCTGGGAAATGCAGTTCCTCACTTGGTAGCTACATTCCCCCAAACACCTCTTTGCAACTTTATCACATATGGCTTTTGCAAGAGAAATATTGAGTTATCTCACATAACATGAAGTATTATAAGTGGACCTTCCCAGGTTTATATAGCAGTTCAGTGATGCCACCCCAGAGTCTTGTCTCCTTTCCCTCTGCCATCCTTAGCATGTCACCTCATGGCCCCCAGTTGGCTGCTGCATACACCCTCAGACCCCAAAGACCAAAGGGAATGAAAGGCTGCCCCCAGGGAGTGCACCTCATGCATCTCTCTCTTTTATCAGGAAGAAAATAATCTTCCCAGAAGCTTCCCTGGAAGACTTGCCCTTGTGTCTCATTGGCCAGGACTGTCACATGGTCTCTCCCAACTGCAATGGAGTCTGGGAACTCAAATGTCTGGAAAGGGGACTAGGACAATTGTGATTAGCCTAAACCTAAGGGTGGGCACATTGCTACCTGTCAAAGAAGAAGGGGAGATAGGGTAGGGGAGGCTGCCTCAGGCATCGTCTCTACAGTGGGGAGGAGTAGGGGCTTTTGTGAACATTCAGTGAAAGACGGATTCTTCAAAGTGTGCTGGGTACAGTGATGATTGGCAGGTACTCCGACCCCACCCACACACGCCCCTTTCAGCATTGTTCACTTTGTTCTGTGGATGTCTCTTTGCCTATCTGCCTCCCACGCTGGGCTGTGAGCTTGGTAGGTAGTACCTTCTCTGTGTCTGTGTCTCCAGGCCCCAGAACAGGGCCAGGCACACAGTAAGTCCTTGGAAAAGTTTTGTTGAATTGATTTGCTTCTATCATTGACCTGGGGAAGGGAAGATAAGGAGAGGGGGAGAGGAAGGGAAATAGCTTGTATGGAACATATACAATGTACTGGACACTCACTCATTATGTCCACAAACGTTTATTGAGCTCTATGTGCCTGGCCCTGTGCTAGACACTGGGGAATCAGCAGGGAACAAAACAGACAAAAATCTCTGTTCTTGTGAAACTGGCATCCTAAAGGGGGAGACAGGAGATAAACAAGTAAACACAAAAAACAAATCCAATGGGTCTAGATCCAATAGACTTATATCTAGTCTGGGAAGAAAAGAAAGCGGGTAAGGGCATGGAGTGATGGGAGGAGCAATAGTAGAGAGTATGTGGGAAAGTTTTTTGGAGCCGGTGACAGTGAATGAGGAGAAGGAGCCAGCTGTGTGAAGAGGGTAACAGCAAATGCTTATTGGACATGCAGTGTAATATATACTCTGAGTGTAATATGTATTAAATCATGTAATCCTCACATCAACCCTGTTTGATGCGTATTATTATCAACCCCGTTGTACCGATGAGGACACCAAGGCACAGAGAGGGTGAGGGACATGTCCTGGGTCACCAGCAAGGATATGACAGAGTCAGGCTTTGAACTTAGGTAGCCCAGGTCCAGAGTCACTGCCCTTGACCTCTATGCTTCGGGAAAGACAGAACAGCAAGTTCAAGATCCTGGGTGGCCCTGAGCTTTGGAGGTGCAGGGGACAGTGTGGAGAGGGCTCAGTGTACGAGGGGGCGGGTAGGCGGGGATGGGGTGGGAGGATTGGGGACGGCCAACTCATGCAGGGCATGGGAGGGCGTTTCCCTGAGGCCTCAACGTCCAGCTCTGGAAACTTGAGAGTACCCAGCCTGATGCAGGCTTGCGGCTTCCCTCCCGCCTCCAGACTACGAGTGGCCCTGGGAGCAGCACCTTCCGATGGCCATCAGCATCTCCTGTGTTGTCATCCTGGTCATCATCCTGTCCTGTTACTTCAGCATCCTCAGGTGAGTCCTGGGCCAGCCCCTCTGGGGTGTGGGATGGGTGGGAACCCCCCACCCCAGCCTGTCAGCTTGCGGTCCTTCATTCAACAGTCAGTATTTATTGAGCAGCTACTATGTGTGAGGCGCCAAGGCAACAGCTGAAACAAAACCGACACAGACACTGGATCCCTGTGGGGAGACAGATGCAAGGTCAGCAAATGACCATGGCCATTTCCATAGCAGTCCCTGCGCTGAAGGAAACACACTAGGGCAAAGGGGAGAATGATTCAGGTGCGGTTTTAGGTGGGGAGGTCAGGGCAGGAGACCTGAGAGGTGAGACCTGATCGGGGTCCAGAGACCCAGGTTCAGACCCTGGCTCTTGCTCTTGGTAGTGGGGGGACTACTGGCCTTGGGTCCCTCTTTTGCAGATTGAGAAACGGTGAGAACATATTTTGTCCTAAAAGTCCTAAGAGAGTCTGGTGGGTGGGTGGAGGGGGGAGGGGCGGTAGAAGGAGCCTGGTTTCCAGTGAGTCCGAGTCCTAGAAATCATGATGGCTCAGCGCCTCAGTCTTCCCATCTCTGAAATGGGACTAGCGAACCCTAACTCACTGTGTCAGGATTAGCGGAGGCCGAGGATTGACATGAGCGTGTCTGTACTTTGCAGGGCACACATTATGTGTGCAGAGAAGGCAGGTTTACCTCTCCACGTCTTGTCACTGAATCCTCTGAGCCACCCTGGGCGGGTCTTTTCTCCTTTTCTGAGCCTCAGTTTCCCCGTTGCCTGTTCTTCCCAGCCCCACTCATGGTGCATTCCAACCTCCTGGCTGTTTAAAAAAAAATTTTTTTTTTAATGTTATTGGGGAACAGTGTGTTTTTCCAGGACGCATCAGCTCCAAGTCAAGTCGTTGTTTTCACTCTAGTTGTGGAGGGCGCAGCTCCTTGGCCCATGTGGGAATTGAACCGGCAACCGTGGTGTTATGAGCCTGCGCTCCACCCACCTGAGCTAACTGGCCGCCCCACTGCTGTTCTTTGAACACACCAAGCAGGTTCCTTCTGAGCCTTTGTGCTTGCTACGCTGCCTGCCTGGGAAGCCCTTCCCCCAGGCATCACGTGACTCGCTCCTCTGCCACCTTCAGTCACTGCTGAGAAGTCACCTCCTCAGGGAGGCCTTCCTGGATCACATTCTCCATTCCTCTTGTTCATTTTTATTCATGGTGCTTATTGCCGTGAATGAATGATGTCATAGAATCACTCCTGTATCTGTTTGTCTCCCTCTTTGAGAAGGTCCATTCTGGGAGGGCAGGGCTTTTGTCTGCTTGTTCACTGTTGTGACCCCGAGGTGGTACATAGTAGGTGCTCAAAAAAGACATGTTGACTGACTGAGTGGAGTAGGTGGAGGCTAACCTAAGACCTTCCCTCTCAGAGCTGACCCTGCACGGGTCCAGGCTGACCAGGAAGAGAAAAGGACTCTGTTGCTCCTAGCGTTTCCTCAGCTTCTCAGGCCATTCCAGGCCTCTCCCTGGCACCTTGCTCCTGGCTTCTCCATAGTAGGGCTTGTCAATAGGAAAACCCAGAATTATCTCTCCTCAGCTTGAGTCTGTCCTACTTCTCGGTGGCTTGTTCCCACTGGGCAGTGGTGGCCGGGTCAGAACTCCATTCTGTGTAGCAGCATGCTGGAAACTCTTCTGCCTACCAGCTGGCACCTCACCTCTCTGGGCTTCGGTCTGCTCATCTATGAATGGGGCAGCACCTGTTTCATGGGGTTAGGAGGAGATAACCGAAACTACTCAACGTGATCGCTGACCCCTACTGAGTATCAGCGACTGTGGTCCTCTTTGTATGGGCGGAGCATCAACCTGTTAATGACTCAGAGGTCAGCACCTTTCCCTCTTCTTTTCCAGGATTAAGAAACAGTGGTGGGACCAAATTCCCAACCCTGCCCACAGCCGCCTCATGACCATTGTCATCCAGGAGTCTCAGGTAGGAGAGGGGGTTGGTTCAGATGCTTTGGTCTGATGTATCGGGAGGTAGGATCCCAGACGCCCAGGATGTGCACTGGCTTTCGGAATCTCCCGTGACAAATCAGGACGGGCTCAGGGTGGGCCGAGCAGCAGCTCAGTGTGGTCATTAGCTGCCCAGAGGCTATCCTGCCCCTTGCCGTTCATAGCTGCTCTTCCAGCCGGGTGGGCGCCTCTTGGGTTGGTCTCTTCAGCTTTTTTCCCTCCCTTGGGAGGAGATGACCCCTGAGGTCATCTGCCTGTCATGTTTTGGGGGTGTCCCTGTCTCAGGGCAGGAAGCCAAAAGGAGAGGGAGAGGGGGATGCACTTCCTGCCTTCCTCTTATGAGCAGGAAACTGCCCCCAAAGCTCTCAGCAAATCTGTCCTCAGCTCCCCTGGATCGCACCCCATGCTCTTCCCTAAACCCTTCACCTGTGAGGCGTGGGAACACCTGAGACCAACCAGGTGGCTATCCCTGAGCTAGGGGGTGGGGCCAGCGTCCCCAGGGCCATGGCCACATGGGGTTTGCCTGTGCAGTATCAGGGTTCTCTAGGGAGAAAGGAGTGGGGGGTACAGAACCTGTCTAGAACAGATGGGCCGGGTATCCTCAGTTCTCCAGGGACCCTATGGCAGGCTCCGGAGTCCAGTGGTGCTGGATTTGAACGCTGGCTCTGCCACCCACTCGCAGAGTGGGCTTGAGCAAGTGGCGTAACTTCTCTGAGCCTCAGTTTCCTCATGTGGGTTTCTAATAGCTGATGTTGGAATTCATTGTGACAATACATGTAAAATGTGTATTACAGGGTCCTGCACATAGTAAGTGTCATTTATGTATCAGTTAGCTTTTGCTGTGTAACAAATCATCCCAAAACATAGACAGTTTGAAACCCCAGCCATTTCTTGGGCTCTTGCTTCTGCAGGTTGGCAGTTTGGACTCAGCTCAGCAGTGGGGATGAAGGGACCCTGGGTTGGCTGGGCAGATCTTTGGGTTGGCTGGCACCCCCCACGGCCTCACTCATAGGTCTGGCAGTTGGCTGACTCTCCCCTGGGGCCGTGGAGGTGACTAAGCCATGGGTCTCTCACCCTCCAGCAGCCTGGCCCAGTTGCCACATTCTATTGGCCAAAGCAAGTCACATGGCCTGGCCAGATTCAAGGGGTGGGAGGAGCTGAGAGAACTGTGATAATTTCTGCCATCTACCAGAGCAGCTTGATATTAGGACAGCCTCCCTAATTCCCAGGAAACAGACTGGACCCCAGCCTGACTGGACCCCAGCCTGACTGGACCCCAGCCCTGCGTGATGTCAGGGCTTCCTTTTCCTACAGCAAAGCAGGTTGGGAAGGCCGCTCTGCTCTGTTTCACTGGCTGTCTCTCTGTTTCAGGTGTCACTCTGGAGGAAGCCGCCCCGAGGTCAGGACCCAGCCAAGTGCCCGTACGTATATGAACTTAGGTCCTAGCTACATGCATTTGGAAGAGGATGGAACTGGGGTAGTGGGCCCCATCGTGGAAGTGGGGTCACCACCCCCATGTCTGCCTTCTCCTCCTTGGCATTCAGCACTGTGCTTGTGACATTGGGTTTCAAGGGGTGACTGGAGAGGGAGTGGTCTGGGTAGGTGGGCTGCTGTCTGAGCCCCTTGAATTTCAGTGTGTGTGGGGTCAGGCACCTGTTGAATCCTTTTGGGGGTGCACAGCCTGGCCTGAGCAAGACTGGTAGAGTTGACAACCAGGGCAGTGGTGCCAGTCGTTAAAATGCTGACATGAAAAAAAAATGCTGACATTATTGCATACTGGTTGGCACATACCACTATCGGACACCGTTGAGTATGCCGCCATCACGCTGGCCTATTTAGCTTCCCCCTTAGTGCTTCCTGGGCCTGGCCACAATCCAGGAACTAAAGGGTTTCTACCTGGCACTGCAGGGGCCCCAGGATACTAGGAACCCTAGGACCCCACAGCCATTCTAACTGGTGATTACTTAAGCTGTGCACTGATATGTATTGTAAATACCATCCTTTCTGACAAAAGATGTTTTCTTACTCAATAGACTGGGTTTGTATTAGGTGCCAGGTTATATGCTGGGCTCCAGACATCCCAACGTAAGACCCAGACTCTTCAAGGAGTTTCTAGGCTCATAGTGGGATAGACTGATAGATTATTGATTATAAAGTCAGGAAGCATGTCTGCAACAGATAGACATCAGTCCAGGGTGACTTCCAGTGGGGCTTTGAAGGATGAATAGGAGTTTCTAAAGTGGGGAAACTGAACCCAGACCGAACTTTGTTTTTGCAGACACTGGAAGACTTGCCTTACGAAGCTCCTGCCCTGCTTCCTGGAGCATGGCACAGAAAAGGATGACGACTCCTCCAAGGTGGCCAGACATGGGCCTCTCCAGGGTCCCGGAAAGCCAGCATGGCACCCTGTGGAGGTCAGCAAGACGATTCTCTGGCCAGAGAGTACCAGCGTGGTCAAGTGCGTGGACCTGTTTGAGGCCCCAGTGGAGAGTGAGGAGGAAGAGGAAGTAGAGGAAGATACAGGGAGCTTCTGCCCATCACCTGAGGGCAGCGGGGCCAGCCCCCAGGACGGCAGGGAGGGCATTGCGGCCCGGCTGACGGAGAGCCTGTTCCTGGACCTTCTTGGCGGGGAGAATGGGGCATTTTGCCCACAGGGCTTCGGGGAGTCCTGCCTCCTTCCACCTTCAGAAAGTGTCGGTGCTCAGATGCCCTGGGCCGAGTTCCCAAGGGCAGGGCCCCAGGAGGCATCGTTCCAGGGCGAGGAGCAGCCTTTGAACCCAGAGCCAAACCCTCTGTCCACACCGAGGCAGAGCCTACTCTGCCTGCCTTTCACCGAGATGCCTACTGTTGTTGCAGACAATCCCGCTTACCGCAGCTTCAGCAACTTCCTGAGCCAGTCGTCAGGTCCTGGAGAGCTTGACTCAGACCCAGGGCGGGCCGGACGCCTGGGGGAAGGGGACCCCGCTCTCCCCTCTGCCCCCCAGCCCTCTGAGCCACCCACTGCCCTCCAGCCTGAGCCAGAAACCTGGGAGCATGTCCTTCGCCGGAGTGTCCTCCAGCACAGGGCGGCCCCCACCCCCGCCCCCGCCCCCACCAGTGGCTACCGGGAATTTGCATGCGCCGTGAAGCAGGGCAGCACCCAGGCTGGGGGAGCGGCGGGCTTCAGGCCTTCCGGAGAAGCTGGGTACAAGGCCTTCTCTGGCATGCTTGTCAGTGGTGCCATCTGCCCGGGATTTGAGGCCAGCAGTGGCGAGGGAGGCTATAAGCCCTTCCAGAGCCTTGCTCCTGGCTGCCCTGAGGCTCCGGCCCCCACGCGCGCCCCCCTGTTCACCTTCGAACTGGACATGGAGGTCCCTCATAGCCCTCAGAACTCACCCCTCCCAAGCCTCTCCCCAGAGGGCCTCATGCTGGAGCCAGTGGCAAAGGGAGAGGACAGCCAGAAGCCCTGGCTCCCTCCAGAGGAAGCCACAGACCCCCTCCGGGATGACCTGGGCAGTGGCATTGTCTACTCAGCTCTCACCTGCCACCTGTGCGGCCAGCTGAAGCAGTGTCACGGCCCGGAGGAGCGTGGCAAGGCCCATGTTGTGGCCACCCCCTGCTGTGGCTGCTGCTGCGAAGACAGGTCCCCAATCCTCGTGAGCCCCCTGGGGGCCCCAGACCCCTTGCCAGGTGGGGTTCCACTGGAGGCCAGCCTCCTGAAAGCCTCCCTGGCACCCTTGGGTGTCTCAGAGGAGGGCAAGCCTTCCCTGTTTCCCCAGCCTGCTCAGAGCTCAAGCCAAACCCCCAAAGCGGTGGCCACGCTCTCTGCAGGGCCCACGTGCGTGAGTGCTTCCTAGGTATGTGCCCTCTTGTCGTTGAGGTCTACAGGTGAGGACTGGGCCTTCCCATGCCTGCCAGACACCTCCTCCTTGAAGGCAGCCAGGCTCTCAGATTTCCGAAAAACTCAGAGAATCCTGGTATGAAGTGGGAAGTTGTCTGACACTGGAAGTTGTCAGACACCCCCACCCCCCCGCCATCCCGTTCCCAACACTGACAGCTCAGCACATCCTGTGGGAGTGGAGGGTGCCTGGCAGCTGTGTCCACAGCAGACGGCCCCAGGAATTAGGAGGATCCTGCACATCTCGGCTTGTGAACGAACGAGCCATTGGCCACTGCATAGCTGCTCCGGCATACTGTCCACCTAGTCTGCTGCCCATGTCTTGCCCAGTCCTGGGATTAGCTGCTGCTGTATTACCGGATTGGACGCTGAGCCTAGAAACTGACCGAGCCAATGGGCATGCCCTGGGAGGCCTTGGAAACTGATGGGAAATCGAGGTCCTGGGAGTGTGGTCGTTTGCCCAGAGGTGCCCATTCATTCAACAGAGCTTCATGAGGTTGATGCTGGAGGCAAGGTCTGGGCTGTGGAGGGGTGTGACGGTGATAGAGAAGCACATGAAAAATGGTGGTTACCAAGCAGCGACAGTTTGCTGTCAGGTTCCTACACAACTGTAAGACTGGGGGCTCCTGTTAAGCGTGGGTCCCCCACCCCAGAATAAACATGCCCAGCTACCTTGGGGGCCGGTCTGTGCCCTCACAGACCCCGTTGCTGGCAGCCACAGAGACCAGAGGGAGGAGGGTTCTTGCCTGAGATCCAGCTGAGCTGGGCATTCCAGCAATTACCCTGGACGTTGGCCCAGATCTCAGGTTGAGTAACACTTGTTTGCGTGCATGTCAAAGATTGTTTAAAACCTGGTGTTTCTGTTTGAGGAGTGTGGAATGGGAGGAGGTGGAGTTTTATATAAACAAAAGTTCTTTATCTTCTTTTTTCACATATTAAACACTGCCAAGCATCATTGTGAGCGCTGTATGTCTATTAACTCATTGAACCCTTCCATCCTGGGGAACCAAGGCCCAAGAGGTTCAGTAACTTAGTCGGGTTCCCTCAAGACAGGGATTCAAGTGCAATTTGTTGACTTAAGATGGGATTCCAGGAAATCCTGCTTGGGGAATGGGGCCGTGAGGCGGGGGGCATTAAAGGGTGTGTTAGTAGCAGTGTAGGCAACTGCCACTTAACCCTGTGGGGAGCTTCGGAAAGCCAGGCACTGTGTATGTCTAGAGGTGTCCCTGCCAAAGTCGGGGGGGGGAGCTGGGGTGTTCTCCTACTAACTCCCATCTGATACTGGAGGAGGACCACTTCCAGGGGCATCGGCAGCAGCCGCTACACTGCCAAGGTCACACAGCTAGCTAGTGGCAGGCCTGTCGCTGAACTCAGGCAGTGTCTCTGGCACCCAGGCTGCAGATGGGGTGATGTGTGGGTCTCAGAAAGGCAAGCAGGGGACCGTAAGCTCTTACGTCTGTGTTCACTCTCTCTGAGTAGATGCCCTGACTGCCACACTTGCCAAATGAAGGGCTTGGCTATTTGAGGTTCCTTCCTGCTCTGGCATTCTACACAAAGCACTGGAGGTGACGGGGAGCTCACTAGCTTACACGCAGCTTAATGTTTGTTAGAGGTACCTCGTTTGTGCTGAGCACAAATCTATCACTTTAGCTGTCTGAGTCAGCCCCCCCCCACACACACACAGTTTACAGATGGGGAAACAGCTCTAGAGGAAAAAGAATTTGTCAAGGTCAACAGGGAAGGGCAGAGCCTGAACTAGCCCTCAGGACTTTTCGCCTCCAAGAGTTTTTATAGGAACATACAATAATTTTATTTTATTTTATTGTTTTAAGGTTTTATTGGGGAAGGGGAACAGACAAGTTGCTGTCCTTTTGTTCTTCAGTCTAGTTGTGGAGGACGTCGCTTCACTGGCCCATGTTGGTATTATCATTGTGCTCTTCCCGAGTGAGGCAGTCACTCGCTTGCCATTGCATGGCCACTCACGGCGGCTCACGGCAGCTCACGAAAGCTCATGCCCGCTGCCGGCCAGCCCCACTGCAGCCTACGCCGTCACTGGAGACTCATGGCAGCCCAGCTCCAGGTTGAGCTGTTGTTCCCCATCTTAGCTGTAGAGAGCGCAGCATCACTGGCCCTAATGTGGGATCCGAACCGGGGCCCTTCTGCTCAGAGCTGGCATCCCAAGCTAACTCCTAATCAACGCCACTTGGCCAGCCCCATACAATAATTTTAAATAAAATAACTATTTAGGGCCAAGCCATGTGCTAAGTGCTGTCCATTCACTATATCTGCTCTAGTAGGCAGGTTGAAATATTATCCTAGTTTTACAGATGAGGAAGCAGGCGCAAAAAGGTGAAGGTTTAGCTTAGGGCCATACCAACTAGGAAGTCCTGGAGCCAGGATTTGAACCCCAGATCTGACTTCCAAGCTCCCAGCCACCATGGGATGCCATCTCGGGTACAGCCTGGCACTTATCAAAGATTAGCTCGAATCCTCTTTGCCTGAGCACCATCTCAGACAATCATATTTAAAAATTAAGCAGCAGAGAAAATACATTTGTGCACGTGGTGGAGAGGCAGTTGAGTTGGAAGTCCAACAGAACTGAGACTGGAGTCATTGTTCTCTCAGGATCTTAGGAGAAAGACCAGAGTTCTCGGGAGAGGCACAGAACTGGAGGGGGCGGCGGGGTGTGTGTGTGTGTGTTGGGGAAGCTAGAATGGAGAACTGGACAGACACCACCCATCTCTTATCCAGATTTAAACCCACCCTCCCAGGCTCAGGGAAGCTGGAGAAAGGCCGCTGTTCTTGCTTTCCCAGAAACAGACAGAAAAGCAGACAGCAGGAAAGCCACACACCCCCACGGATATTTACTGAGCACCTACTATGCCCGGCACTGTGGGGTGCTGAGGAGACTGAGTGAGACGAGGTCCCTTCCTTCGTGGATCTTACAGTTCAGTGGGGGAGACAGACATGAAACAGACAAAAGGAAAAAGTGCCAACATTGATGGGTGCTGTGAAGAAAATAGGGGTCTGAGACACGGGGAGCTAAAGGGAGGTCTTTAAGGAGGTGACTTGAGCCCTCAGTGACTGGAAGAAGCCAGGGTAGACTATGGGAAGAACATTCTGTTAGAGGTTAGAGCAAGTCCACAAGCCCTGAAGCACAAGGAGTTTGGGATGTTGGCAGTACAGAAAGATCAGCTACAACAGAGCCAACCAGGGACAGTGGTGGGAGATAAGGTCGGGCATAATGGGGGCTGGCGTGAAGGATTTATATTCTGGCTTAAATGCACATTAGCCCCACCCACTGAGAAACATGGGCTGATAGACAGCATTTTGTCTTCCAGCTTTCCAGTCCCCAAATGTAACCCCCCATGGGAAGTGTTCCTCCAATAGGACTCCCTCTCACCTCACAGACCTGGAGGACTAAGGTTCCCACCAACACCAGCAACGAGAGTGATTAAAATTCTCATGGCTGATATTCTTATTCAGGTGCTAAGTGACTCCCACCGGGAATGAGTTGGTTTGCACAGGGTAATTAATGGCTGGCTGCCAGGGCCTTTCTTGGAATCTCTTTGACAAAAGACTTTTTAAAATCCCCTTAAAATCTGGTCCTTGGCCTTCCAGGCGCTGGGCCCCAAATTAGGCTTGGAACCCAAGGGTCTTTGGGATGTGAAGCCCTAGACCCCTTCCCTGCTCTCTCTGTCCCCCTTATCCTGCCTGGGCCTTCACTTCCTCATTCGTAAAGCAGGAAGGGCAATAAAATCTGTGCCATAGTCTTGTCCTGAAAATAGTCTCTATTATTATTATGTTCATCCTCTTGGGTTTACGCCAAACTGGCTGGGGCACAGGTGACAAAAGGGAAAAGCTACAAACAGAAATCTAGAATATTCAGCCCCAGCCACTCCTCTGGGCTTCCTCCCAACGTCCCTGTAAGGCTCTGATGGCTCCTGCTGCAGCTGGTTAATCCTGATGTGGCAGCTCCCCAATCCTGACATGGGAGCCCCCCAGCCTGTGCCTTCCCTGTGTCCCTGAGCCCGCTGGTTTATGCCAACTCCTTCCTCAGTTGGCCATCCCTGCACTGACTAGGTCTGGCGATTCATTCATTCATTCATTCATTCATTCATTCATTCATATAATTGTTGAGTTTTCATCTCCCAGAGAGACAATGTTAAAAGTAAATGTAAATGTAAATGTCCCAAATTATGAGCATGGATCAAAGTTTTGAGATTTGCAGGAAGGGAATCAGAAAAAGAAGAAAAAAATAACATTGGTTCAAAGAACGCTCTTAGGAAGGGATTTTATAGCAAGACAAATGAGTCTAGGACAGTGAGTGAGAACATTTTACTGTGATGGAAACATCGGGCGCTGTCCAGTACAGTAGCCACTAGCCACGTGTGGCTATTAGGCACTTGAAATGTGGCTAGTATGACTGAGGAAATGATTTTTAAACTTTACCGAATTAATTAACTTTTACATTTCAATAGCCACACGTGGCTAGGGATTACAGGATTGGACAGAGCATGGCTAGTAGATCAATTTAGTCCAACATACAACTTAATTTCCTCAGCGTGGAGGGGAGAGGAAAAGAGCCAGAAGGCTGAAGGAAGAGAGAAGAGGAACAACGGACCGCACCAAATGTGCGCCCCAAGAGCCATGAGAGGCGGGGTTCTAGTGGATGAGGTCACTAGAGGCTGGTCACTCAGGCCAGCCCCCTACCCTACCCCTAACTCCACTCCACCCCACCCCGGAGCTGCAAATAGGGGGTGGATGTGGGCAGGGAGACGCTGTCTGCGGACTTTCCCAGCACCCCTAGTGGGGCTGGTGCAGAGAGCAGCAGGGGCGCTGCAGGGGGTGGGTGGGGAGAAGTGCAGAGGAAGCTGGCAGGTGTGGAGACCCCGGGAGGCCCCCAGAGCCATTGATTTCAGGGTTCCCCTGCCCCGGCCCCGCACACCCAGGACTTCGATTTTACAAAGATTTTTCTTGGCGGGGGGGCGGAGTGGTGGGTGCGTCTTCTTTATTTTTTAATTTATTTTTTTTTAACAAAAAACCTATTATACTTATTGCTTTTTTTCTGATTACTAAATTGGCACGTGCCTCCCTCCTCTGATTCAGAGAAAACCTAAAGGTATAAATAGGAAAGTGAAAACCACCGGAAATCCCATCCGCCGCCCCAGCACCTGGCCCTATGTGGGCGGTCACCAATGAATGTTTGTTTCTCAAGATTTTCTAGCTCCGTGAACATCCTGTTGAATAACCTTTCTGATATTTTCCTACGAAATTTATTAATTAAAAAAAAACCCCAGCGTGAGGTTTTTGAGGCCCCACTGCAAAGGGCGGCATGACGTCACTGGCTCCTCACGGCAGCCGGAGAAACGTTGTGTGGGACTTACCCAGGATGCATCCTGACCCCTAACCTCTCACCTTTTACAGGTGAGAACACGGAGACTCCGAGGAGCAAGGGCTCTACCCTCATCCTGCTTCTGTTTGAACCCGCATTTGCCAAGAGCTGTGTGACCGAGGGCAAGGTTCTTGACCACTCTGGGCCTCAGTCTCCTTCTGGATCAAAGACAGATGAGAGAAGTTCCCAGTAGCCCACAGCGATGGGGTGAGCAGCCGATGTCTCCATGGATGCAGGCCAGGTGGTGTCAACTGCTCTTGTGATTAACTTGCCTAAGGTACCTGACAGCAGCAGGACCAGTGCCAGCTCTTCCTCACAATATCACCCTTTTCCCTTGATGTCACTGACACACCGGCCAGTGGAGACGCTGGTAGCATCAGATTGGCAGGCGGCCAGCTCCCTGGTCCCTGCTGCCCCCTAGTGGCCCACGCTGGCTCCAGCGCCTGCCTCTTTTCCCTCAGCTCCAGGTCCAGGTCCCCTGGGTGCCACGCCCATAAAACGAGGCCTCCGACCCCACCCGTGCGACCCCACCCTCTCTTTCATCTCTGCATGTCTCCCCC